AATTTTGCATTTTGAAATGCTCCCGATTTCTGAGGTCTAAAGGTTGGCAAGTATGCCGCTGGCGCATCATAAACACGTCGGATAGTGAAAGTGCATTCGGATTCTCTAAAGTACCGCACTCTTCTCCTAAATCCTTTTGAATTCTCCTATCCACTATCCCTTAACCCCACGACGTTTCACTCAGTGGTCAAGGAATAGGAGATAGGGTTAGAACTTAGCAGCTGATTTTTAAACTATCCGAACGCAACCTGGGACTGTGACGGCTGCTAGTGGAGCCTTGCAGCAACTTTGCTTTCTGCACCAAAATCTGGTGCTGCTGCATTGGGACTACTAAATGAGTGAGACTCAAATATCAGAAGTTCAGAATAAGTTTTAGTAGTTTTTATTGTATTTGTACTTCATTTACTTTACTCAGGGTCAAAGAGAGGAAACCAGTTTTAAGATGTTGAAAAGTTCATTAAACATAAAAAGGCATTTCATATAAGTTGTGTTATTCTACATTTTGACACCAAGATTTTCTGATTTTACTGCAAATGTATATCGGTTCCAAATATCGGTTATCGGTCTCCTTGATTACTAATAATCGGTATCGGCCTTGAAAAAGCCATATCGGTCGATCCCTAATATAAAGATACAAGTGCCTTTAAAGCTCAATTTGGTTGCTGGGTTGGGTAATACATCTTGATATCAGCACCGTTTTATTTTACTCGCTGTTATTCAGCATGTCCACCAAAAATAAATAATATTGAAATATTTCCACCAACTATTGAGAAAATCTGAAACGTAACTGCCTGTATCAATATGAAAAATTAAGAAATAGAGGCATGATTTTTACCTGGAGCTGCGGGTTGAGTTTAATGAAAAGACTGGTCTTCTGGTCCCAAACAATCACAAGTCCCGGCTTGATGGTCACCACCAGGTAGATGCCCATCTTGTGTAACCGACCTTTACCATCTTTTCCACCGCTGCCCTTTACCACGCTGAATTTCTCATCTTTTAATTGGAATTCACTATCCTGTGGGCAAAATGAAATCATCATGGAGTTAAATAAGTGTTAAGGTTTGATCAATTCATCTTTCTTCTCTAGTTTTAACATGATATGGTAAATACCATTTAATTAAAGGGAACGTAAAATGCCTTCTTCAGAAAGAAAGAACCAAATCCAAATAGACTGCATGCCAGTAGCAAGGACACATTTTCATTTGCAGTGACATTGAATGTGAATATACACACAGGCTGCACACGACCACAAGGTATTCTCTAGTTAGGGCATTTGAATCAAGGCATTACCATAGGACAACAATCTATCATTTAAATGTCTATAATATGCCCTGTAAAAAATGAAGAGACCACTGCAAAACTATCAGTTTCTCTGTTTTTAAATATTTATAGGTATGTTTTGAGTAAAATGAAAGATTTTATTTTATTCTATAAACTACTTACAACATTTATCTGTGTTGGAATTCAGCAGACACTGGAATGTAATGGCTGCCATACATGTTGAGATTGAGATTAAAGAAACATTTGGAGTGGTTTCTTAATTTTCTACAGAGCTGTATGTTGGTGTTAGAGTGTGCTTCATGCCAACAACTTTCGGCAGAACATGTGCTCGGTGTACGTGTGTTGTGTTTACCCCCATGTAGATCTTGATGGCCTTGGAGCAGGTGGTTCCTGTGCTTCCACATGGAACATTTTCCGAGATAATTCTGAAGCTTCCGTTGCTCTGACCGCCGCCACAGTAGTCCTGAGTTAGGCATAGACACAGGATGCAATTACTGGAAACCAAGTTACAATGCTTAACTTTTTTTCATGAAATAAGACCCCATTAGAGACGATTGATCTGCAATTTTTCTATGTTACTATGTATACTTATTTGTCTTTAATTGTATTCTAGTAGTAACTATAAATGTGCTTTTCTTCTCTATATTAATAAGTTAGCTTATTCTTTATTTTTGCATGCCTTTCTTTCCTGCTATGCCACTCTGTTGTCCTCTTAAACCTGAGGGCCTCGCAGGAATGGATGCAGCATTTTATCCAGCCAAATCTGATTTGAATGATATCCGCCTGCCTTAGTGATCATAACGGACATAGTTTAAGTTACAGCTAATTTAATAATCAGATCATGGTTATGATGGAAAAAGACAGATTATCGAAAGAGATTTGACTGCACTGTAAACATTTAGTGTAACCATAGTAAGCACAGTTGAGACATTTTAAGGATTTCAATTGTATTCACTGTTCCTCTTTCCATCTGCCACTTTACCTGTAGAAGTGTGTATTCACACTCTCCATTGAAGTCAAACCTCTTATCATCAAACGTGACAAAGTGCCCGTCACCATAGATACCACACACTGCATCACAGAGATTGGTGGTACATGTGAACTTCCTTCCAATGCAGGAGCTGGGGAGACAAACACCAGAAATAAACTTTAATAAGTTAAACCTACCATAAAGAATCAATGCATCTTTAGGTTTTTCTATCGGGCTGTCAATGTTAACATCTTAATGTTCGTAACTGGAAAGCTTAATGTATTAAAAAAATAAATATGCAAATATATAACATTACTAAGTTTGACCCAGAGTTGCCCCATAATACCAGAGTGGATGTTTACCATGGATCGCATAGCAGTCAAAAGAGAGAGTAAGTCATTGCTATCTTGCTGCACTGGTTTGGTTCAGATGTGGTGCAAAGAGAGGAAAGGCACTTTTCTGTGTGTGAGATATTGGAGGGTCACCACTGTAGGAACAGATAGAGCTGCAGTATGATAACAGCAGAGATGGTATGCCCTGTGTTGCACGCATTATACAGAGGGGAATCGCTCTCTTGGACAGCAGCTTTTTGGCTTAGTGTCAGGGTTCTTTGGGAAATTCATGCAAATAATTCATTGTAGACCGACATGTTTTACAGCAAAGAATCAGCTAACACGAATGTGAAATGTTTAATACAAATATGATATCAGATATAAATACAGACATTTTAATGAAGTTTATATTATTTTTAATAGACATATTTAAAGACAAGGACAAAATGAAAAAGTTAAAGATAAGAAATATTTTAAGAAGATGTAGTGCTCAGGTTAGCTGTAAGGGGAGATATGTATGAAACTACACAACTAAAGCATCAGTAGTTCCAGTTTCTGGAGAAAACCTGCATAGACAATTTAGATTTATTACATCGTTTTAACGAGCTCAATATAATTTATCAGAGACATCAAAATGTCAGAGAGCATGTGATGAAAAACATGCCAATTTCAGTCAGAAAACTTGTTTTAATTTGTTTTACAAATATTAGATGTAGAATGTGTAGTACTTGTTAAAGTCATAACAGACATTTACTAAAAGAATGATAAACATTTTCTTGTATATATTGGATTATGTCTTGATTGATGTATTTTCTAAATATTTGTATTTTCATAAAAGGTTGTATTTCAAAGTGCTGGTACTGTTTCCACCAATGTTACTTAATTTTGTTAATTTTACAAAAATAAAATGAAATTCTTAGGTCACAGGCTCCTCCAACAGTGCAACGCAATAAAACAGATAAAATAGTGCAAGTAAATACAAATAAAATAGAATAGAAATAGTGCAATCAGAATGTATATATACATGTAATTGGAATATGATATATTAGATAAATTATTTGTAGGTTGTAAACAGGAAAATATTATGGATGTTCTAGTTCAGGTGTTTAACAGTCTTATGGCCTATGGGATGAAACTGTCCCTGAGTCTGGTGGTTTTAGTCCTGATGCAGCAGACAGAACAGTTTGTGGCTGGGGTGATGGGGGTCTTTGATAATCCTGAGGGCTTTCTTCCTGAGCCGCTGGGAGTAAAGATAGTGTGTGTATTACCCAGCAGCTATATACAATACTGTGTATGTGTAAATAAGTGCACAAACCAGGTGTTGCAGTCCACAGTGAGAGTCTGCCCGGGCTGATAGGCCTGTCCGTTGTGCAGGCATGGACAGTTGCTCTCCGTGATGCAGCCTCCCTGCCCGTCTGACACCAGGCCGTCAGGGCACATGCAGCCCGATGTGCAGCCGCTACTGATCTGTAGCACACCAACGGGGGCGGAAAAGGCTGTTAGTCATGTATGTTAGACATCTACGTTAGCGTATGTGTGTGTGAGTGTTTGTGCATGCTATTCTGTACTTACACAACCCATGTCCAGAGTGCTGCAGCTCTTTTGACACTCAGTCCCAGGGACCCCAGGTTGAACAGTGGAGCAGTCAAAGTAAACCATTGGGGCAACACATGATGGGGAGGCTGGGTAATAAATGAGAAACTCATGATGAAGAGCGTTGTGATCTTGTCATAATATTGCATAGTGCATATGATTTTATAACTATATTGCACACTACGAATGAACAGGAATATCTTTCATCTGAGGATCATCTTTCATGATTTGGAAGATAATTCAAAAGGCTTGTAAATTACAAGGGGATTAGCATTTAATCATTATCATTCACAAATCAAAAGTTAAGCACAATAGAATTCACCAAATAGCATTTGATTCTGTGCATATTTTGAAACATACATGGTAGTTGTGTCCCTCCTGAGCAGCTGAGGGCTCCTTGTCTGCAGACACTGTGACAAAAAGAGTTCAAGTCATCAGCTAGCATCCTGAAACCATTCTATGTTTGTCAATGGAATTCTTTATCGTACTGAAATAATATAGACTTGCTACAATGTCCTCTAGCTGCCCCTCATTTTCCATATCAACTGTTCTATTGGTAGAATAGAAATTCCTATAATTCCAGCGTGGGAATGTTCACATATCCAAAATAGATTGCTAGATTTGAAGTAACACCAGTGAAATGAAAACTCAAGCCAAGTTTCTTTTTTCATTATGTTACAAAAAAGCTTTGAATGGGCTTAATTCACTATATTAGTGTTATGATTAGGGATGTCTATCGTTAGGACTTTATCGATACCGATACTGCTTATCGATACCGGCATTTTTCGATACTCTTATCGATACTTTTCAATAATTTGGTGTATACATGATACTATGGAGCTATGTTTCAGGGTCATAAGTTTTTGATCATTCCAAAAAAATTTCAATTTAATTTGAAAGTCCAGTTTCATCCTGAACCTTTGAAAAATACAATGTTGTATTCAAAACAAAAAAGTATTTTAAATAATTGTTCAGGTTGAATATTATTTTTGATTCAGCTCAGCAATTGTTTTGTTACATAAAATATTTATTTTCATATTTCACTTTCTATACATATTTAGATATTTGGAATACTGTTTTTTTCAGTTTTCAGATTTACGATTTCAGATTCAAAACAATTATTTTTTCAGTTTCAATTCTTTTTTCAGTTTCAATCTTTTTTCGCCTTCAGATCGTTTTCACTTTCAGATTTTTTTTTCGCTTTCAGATCTGTTTTTTTTTCGCTTTCAGACTTTTGACCCTGAATATTGCTTCGGGGGGCGGGCTTAGCAAAGAGTAGTTTGGCACCCTGAGTGAACAGCCCTCCCTCTGTAATGATGCACTTAATGGATGTTAGGTAGGCTCAGAAGATAGCAACTACACACTTCTCTACACAGATACTCCCGTGATGGTGGTAAGAACCAAAACTGGTACCAGCATCAAAGTTCCGTTAAGCGAGCTGTTGAGCATCATAAGGTTGGCAACAGTCACGGTATAAAGAGCAATAACGCCCTGTGGGTTAGAATTTCTGACAAGTCACCGTATCCGCAATCAAGCGTTGTCTTCCTCACTTCCAGTAGCTTCCGTTAACGCAGCATAGATATTTACTTTGGCTTGGTTTTTGTGGTCAGAATCAGAATTACCTTTATGTCCCACAGGGGATACCATATTACATTTTACAGCAGACAAGAGCCGAATTACAGTTTTAATGTTTACCTAAAAGCGGATGCATACAAAAAGTATTAAAGATTAAAAAAAGGAAATTAATATATTTTTAAAGTTACACACGCTCCCTTTACATAATACACACCTGTGGACAGTTCTGCGGATTTAGCAGCAGGGTATATATTTGCAAAGTTTTTAACGGCATATATATATTGGCACATACTGCAAATATTTGCACATATTGGTATTTATCAACAAGAGGGGTGTTATAGTCTGTGTGGTTTTGTGCGGGATGGCTACTAGGAGCTGTGCTGGTTGTATGTTGACCGCTGCAGGAAGGAAGGACTGCGGTATTTCTCCGTGAGACAGCGGGGGATGGTCCACCAGAACAAACCTGCTGGGCTCGTTGCCGATACGTATTTCACATTCTAACACAGTTTATTTGTATTGATTGTTTCCAACTACGCATGCTCAACAGCTCGCTTAACGGAAACTTTGATGCTCGGTCTCAGTTTTCTAACATCCTATGAAGGCAACATGGGACATGAGGGGAGGCCTGTCACTCCCGATGACCAAACTTACTCTTTGGTAAGCCCGCCCACATGGCAATATCAGGGCCAAAAGTGTGAAAGCGAAAAAAAAAATCTGAAACGCGGGAAAAAAAAAAAGATCTCAAAGTGAAAACGATCTGAAGATGAAAAGCAATGTGAAACCTGAAAAGAAAAAGATTTGAAACTGAAAAAATAATTGTTTGAAAACGAAAAAATCTGTGCTGAAAAAAAATAAGGATTCAATACAAAATAGGTATAAAGTGAAATCTTGAAATAATATTTATTCAAAAATATTGACTGAACGGAATCAAAATAATATTTCACCTGAAAAATTATTTCAAATACTTTTTTTATTTTGACATACATCATTGTATTTTTCAAAGTTCAGGATAAAACTTGAACTTTCAAATTTAAAAAAAAATTTTGTATTTTTTTTGAATGATCAAACTTATGACCCTGAAATAGCTCCATAGATTACAAGATGTGAAGATTAACAACAGTCATTTTATTGTAATATTTTATTTATTATTTAAGTAACTCAATTGTC